GCCCGCCTCTGGTTCCTGGGTGAGGAGCCACCACGTTAGGTGAGACTGTGCTGTCCATCTACAGTTACGACCCGTTTGCTTAGCAGCGTCACCTCTCCTTTTCTCCATAAAAAGTAACACTGAACTGAAACAGATTACATAGTTATAAAGACTTTGTGCCTCAAGAGTCACTTCCATCCCAAGGCTCTCTGAAAATCTTCCTGATGAAGTGTGACCTTCAAGGCACAACACTTCTAACTCAAGCAATTGTACGTATCACGCATTAGGACATATCACCAAGAAGGAAAATGGTTTCCTACTGTTTGTATCAGGAGAACCACAAGTTCAACAGCTGTTTTACAGTGTGAGACAGGCTTGCTACATTTGAATAGGTTCCCTCCTCATAAAGACTCCAAACAAAGCAAAATAAGGTAAAGGATTTCCAGCTGCTGTTAAAGGACAATGCCGTCAGTCCAGAAGCTTGCTTCCCATTCTGCACCATCCCAAAGCAGCTCTCCAGCTGTAGTCACCTGCTCTGTGGGATGCTTTGAAAGAAATCTGTTGATTTTTCTGCATCAAATACATTATGCTGTCATGCGTCAGATGCCTGAAACAGAGACCAACAACTCCTTCAATACTTAACATTCACTCCCTGTAGGTTTAGGTACCCTCACCTCCTCACTCCAAAAAGTAAAGACATTTCAAACAGTTTCACCTTCAGAGGAACATGTAAAGTGGCTGCAACTACCAAAACTGACGTTTCAAAGGACTTTCAAACTAGAAATGTGAAGAAAAAATTAATCGTAAAGTGGCCGCAACTACCAAAACTGACGTTTCAAACTAGAAATGTGAAGAAAAAATTAATCACCTCTATACCTCACTTACTCTTTACACTGTAAGACGTGGAACAAATTTGTCATCTGAAATCAAACTTCAACCATCTTAAATATTCCACAATCCCACTTCCTGTAACTCTTTAAAACACCAGAAAGTATCTTCTGACAAGGCACCTTCTATTATTAAGCCAAAAGGTGAAACTACAGAGTAACATACATGTAACTACAGACACACAGGTATCTAACACCAGAGGCGATCCCACCACCACGCTGAGTATGTCCTTTAACCTCAGAGCCCCGCTGCTCAGGCTATTCTGTACAGCAGCCCATATAGTGAACGTCATTTGCAGTAGAGGTGGAACTTGAGCACTACTAAGAGCTGTTAGAAGCACTGTCACAGGTAGTGTTAGAAATCATTAAAATACCGACTGGAAACACCAGAGTCCATTTGAAGAATTTATTAGTATCCTCTTTTTTTACAAGTTTTAGAAAAAGAATCCCAGGATTTTGCCTCCTGTGTGTTTTCGCCTAGCCTCCTCATGGTCCATGATGCCAGCTGAGGTTGTCAGTACAATGTACCTATTGAGAAAGAACAAATGTTCAGTTTATCGTTTCGTTCTAGGCTTGTGCAGAGCTGACAGCACTAACTTCATTTCTGTATCACAACAGTAAGATTGTTTCTGGAAGAATGGGCCTAAGGGCACTAAGACAATGAAAAAGAAACTCCTCTCACAAGTACAACTCTGCAGCGCACAAAGGACACTGACAGGCTTCTGTTCTCCAAACATCTGCCTAAGTCTCAGCAAGAAGTGTCCTTGCACATTCCCACCATACAGTTCAGCTGTTGCAGCAGCAGCAACTCTGCTTCCAGACAAAATCTGCTTCTACATTAGGCAGACGTTTTTCTTCAGAGCAGGTGGAGTTGCCATGGTGCCAGACAGCTCCTCAGCTCCCAGCGCTTTGTCTCTCAGTGTTTTGAGCACTGTGCACCGGAGCAGATGAGTATCTGGATCTGGACTGACACCTGAAGCAGCCTTAGTCATTGCTAATCCCAGCATCTGGATGATCAGCACACTTCACCCGCACAGCTTCGTGTCTGAGAACCTCTTGTCCTACCACTCTATAAATATTCTTAAAAATATGACAACACACACTAGCAAGCTATATGGGGACAGCTAAAGCAAGTGGCTTATCACTGGAGCTTTCAGAAGAGAAGTGACAAGGAACTGCTAATCCTGCCTTTGATGGGACAGGCTGGCTGCTGCACTGAGATTTGTGACTCCTGACTCAGTGAATTTTGGGAAGGAAAAACCTACTGCACAACACTAAGGTTTTCTATGTCGTGGTTTGTCTAACAGAGGCTCCGAGTCTCTCATCACTTCCTATCTAATCAATTTCTACATAATTAGGAGGGTAAATTTAAAGGAGTATAACCTACCTGCACTGAGCTGGTAACTTACACAACTCCTCCCTCATCTATGAATGGCCATTAACAAAATTAAAACAAGTAAGAGAAAGGAAAAATCCTATTTTTCCAACAAACTGCAGAAATGGTGAAACCAGGATTTACTGAAGCAAAAATAGCTCCTGGCTTAGCAGTGCCCCTTTTAAACTGGTTAAAAAGAGCATCTACATGGAGGATGGATTTTTAGACGGGTATCTACCTCAAGACTGATCAGAGAGGAAAGGTGTCAGGGAAGTCTAACTCAGGCACTATAAAAGCACAATAAAACCCCCACATTTCTACATAGGACAGATTTAACTCTTCTCTAATACTCACCCGAACTGACGTGAAGGCAGCAGGTTGTTCTGCCACTTTTCCAAATCCTTCAGCTGAACATCAAATCTGGGACTGATTACACCACACTGTAAAACAGAAATCCATTACAAACAGAAGAACCTTATAAACTGGATTTATACATTTGTCATTCCAGCTCATGGAATGAAAGGATTTCACAACTGCAATGAAAATATTTTTGGCAGCAAAAGACTAGAACACCAAGAAGTGCACTCCATTACCCATGGTACCAAGAAGTGCACTCCATTACCCATGGTACCAAGAAGTGCACTCCATTACCCATGGTACCAAGAAGTGCACTCCATTACCCATGGTACGGAACAGTGCCTCTGCTCAGGTAAGCTGAGACTCTCACATTGCTCTTCAGCTTGTATTTCCTTAGCCTTACTTCCTCCTCACCTAAATAGTGACTTACACTGCTGCTGAAGCTAAACCAACAAATTAGCAGCTAGACCTAGGAGAGCACAAAAGCATAAACCACTAGAGATTATTAAGCATGCTACATAACCAAAAAACCTGCCATCACTCAAGGATTTTAGTTCTAATGATCATAAATAGTTAGCAAAAAGTAACTGCAGATTTTAAACAGGGAGAAAGTAACATGCATAGAAGTTATCAAAGTTTTCACGTTAATAGTACTAATTACTGACCACGGCCACTACTACCACCTCCAGTTACCTCACTCGCTCCAACTACCTTAACAAACATCCAAGAGCAGAACAGAAGCACACTCCCTGCACTGCTGGACACTCTTCTGAACCAAACTGGTCCCTATTTCAACTACTGAGAGAAACGTTCAATGCAGCTGCACTCTGCCAGATCCGTTATGCAATTATCCTGGAAACGTTCAAGGAACGCTACATCCAAACCTGACACAGATTATTTTGATTACAGACACACAACACTAGTAACTTGGGTGGTGTCAGAACTCTCTGCCTACTACACTCAGGCAATTTTCAGCTGCAGTATTTGTTTATCAGGGAGATTGCCACCAATGTATTCTGACCAAGTAATTTTTTTCTTTCTTTAGTAAAGAAGCTTAATGGAAACAACAATGCACAGCATCCCAGAACGAGATGGCTCAGTATTTTGAGACAAAAGCATTTAAAAAAATTCCAAAAGACACATGAATACTTCACACACCCCAGGAACTTAAAAAGCACTGATTAACATAACAGTCAGCTTTCCCTCAACTGCAAGCAAAGCCCATCTAGCAGCAGCAGAAAGGCTGGTCTTCTCAACATTGCCAGGTGTTAAACATCAACTGGAAAGCAAGTCAGGTTCTATCTCTGAAGACAAGTCTCTAGATAGCTTGAATATCAAAGAAACAGAGAAATCACCAGGTAGCCAGAAAACCTTTAAAGAAAAAGACACAGCACTTGCAAGCAGACTTCCCTGAAAACGTCTCACACATCACAGTTTAACCAGAATGTCCTTGGCCAACCAGGCCACTATGAATCCAGAAAAATTAGCAAGCATCTGATAACCACTGATAATATCCACATCACTTCCATTTACGTGGATTCAATAAGTACTACCTTCTTTGCAAGTAATTCTTTCAGAACTGGAGTAAACAAGCGTTAAAAAAAATCTCATTTAAACATCTTCAGAGAGAATTGAATCCAGGAAGACAAATCCTACCTTGTTGAGTCTGCCTGTGAGATTGACAACAATCTTCCCAGCTCTGTGATCATCAATTATCTCAAATTCACCGATGTAACCTACAAAACATCAGCAGGCACATCAAATACAGAATAATTAGCTACATTAACACAACTCAATTAACTACGCTGTACAAAACTAGTTCAAGCACCTTGATTTACTTTTAGTCAAAAAAGCATCTCAGCACAACAGCACCCACACACCCAAACCAGGACCCAGGACGGAGCCGGCGCCGCGCTCGGCACTCACCGTGCTTCATCATCACGGTGAGGAACCGGACGATGACTTTGGAGCACGGCCTAATGAGAACCTGTCGCTTCCCACGTTTCTCTGCGTTGTTGATGCTCTTCAGAGCATCGGCTAGAACGTTCATGCGCACCATGGTGCCTGTGGGGAAGAGGGCAGGGAGGTTATGCACAGCAGCTTCTCAGCACAGAAATATTGAGCAACACGCTTTTTTTTTTTAAGGCTAAGACCCAAAAGATCCAAGACTGACAGAAAGTTACACCAAACCTCACAAAGCACATTCAGTCGTGTACTGAGACATGCTCCAGGATTCACAACTGTCACGACAAGTTTGGGAATCTGACACACGTATTTAAACTTGGCTCTTTCAACATGGACACTCCAAGATTTAAAACGAGCACCGAGACAACATTTCCTCAGTACAACACCTTCCCCAGGTGTGTCGTTTTGGACTTTAAAACCCAATTCTGCAGTATTAGCTCTGTTCAAACCCTGGGTGGTACACGGCATTAAGCAGCACAGATGCTGCTCAGCTTATTTGCAAAAACCTGCCAGTGCAACACAGCGCTCTGGAAAGTGGCATCAACTCTCGCATTCTCCTGATGAAGACCAGAGCCTCCCGCGGACCACAAGGCACGACAAGAACCGATGCTGCCGCCCCACCTGCTAACAGAGCCCGTGCCCCGACAGACGCAAGCAGGCCGGTCTCCTGACCTGGGCCAGGGGCCATGCCCGCGACGGCCGGCTCCTGCGGCACA